ATTTTTTAAACTTTGAACACGCGCGCCCCAGGGAGGCGCGCCTCACAGTTTGGAAAACGCTGCTCTAAATACTCTTCTAAGACCACCGAGATATGTGGTTTTATTGTAATTGTGGAATAATATTATAAATAGATTAAAAAAAACAATCATTGTATATTGTACATTGTGTTGCAGGTGAAACGCGTTTGGGACTGATGTGGACATGCATGACCCTGTACAATAGACCACAAGTGTGCTTCACCCCTGTACTCCAACCCGAATGGATGCTTGCATTGGTCTGCATATTCATTGGGTGCATCTGCAGCACCACCACGATCATACTCTTAGCCACCTCGCATTGGGACAGAAACGTCGTACCATACGCCAGATGGGTGGGTTTCACAGCAAGTAAGTAATCTTCGAACTTACCCATATCCAACACTCGACACAGATGCACACTGCGACGCAATTTCCATCTACAATTGCCTTGGTCTCTCTCTCTCTCTTATCTGTGTGCGACCATAAAATCAAATTACCCAAAGCGATTTGCTGATGCATTATTATTATTTATTTTTCCCAGTGGTCCTCTTCTGCTTGGCCGCAGTGATATTCCCGATGGGATTCCACGTGGATGAAATCGGTGGACAACCCTACCAACTGCCCAACAGTCACCAGGTGGGCATATCCTACATCCTGTTCGTGCTCGCTCTCTGGATCACCGTCATCTCTGAGCTCTTCGCTGGAAAAGTATGTCTTCCGCATTTCTAGATGCGCGCTGCTCTCATGACTAGTGCAATCTCATGTCTTAACACTCTAAACACAATTATTTTACTTTTGTCTTTCTCTTCTTTATATTTCTTCTTATTGTAAGGGGTAACGGATCAGTTTCTTTCTATATGTTATATTTTATAAGTCTGTGATAAACGAGATACATAGTATATTATTGAATGTCTTATCTAGTTAATTAAGTTGTCTAAAAATAAAGTTGAATGTTCGTTTTTACCATAGTTGCATCATTTCCTTCCTTCGTTCAATAAATACGTAAAACATGGTAAGTAAAATTTATCAAGTGACTTTGAAAATACAAATACTGTCTGTAATTGCAAGGATACGGTATGAATGGGGAAAATACAGAAAAATTCAATTGAATTTACATAACTTTATTTCAAATCTTATTTAGTTTCAGTTTTCAGTTCATAATAGACATCTAGTATATAACAGGAATTCCATTCATTAATTATTATTTTCTTGTCTTCATTTCATCATTATTTGTTTAACTACTAAAGTGGTCTTGGATAATGTGGATAACGGGATAATCGTCGGGTGGATGGGGTGTGTGTGTCGTATTGTACATCAATTAGTGGTGTATACGAAGAAGTTGAAACATGGTTTTTTTTTTTCTTGTACGAGGAGGGGTGATGGAACGACGTTCATTTTATTTTTGTTTCACAGTGATCGCAAAAATTGCAACTACATTATAAAATTTACAACATTTCCTAAAAATCATTTCACTTGCTTTTGCTTAATTATTATTTTTTTTAAACATTCATATATATATTTATTAAATATATATATATTAAGAAATGATTTTCCTTTTAAAAACACTTAGATTTTTAATAAAACATTCTCTCTCATTTTTTTTGTCACTTTCTCTTTTCTTGATCCTTTTTTTTTCTCTATAGTAGCTATTACATACATTTTATACTTTTTTTTTTGCGTGTGTGTCTGCTTTTCCCATTTTCTTGTCTTGTCTTGTCATCTTCTATTTATACATTTTACATATGTAAAAAAAAAATAATAACATGCACGCCACTCTAATGTACAGATATATTAAAATATAACCGTGATGGTCACTTGGGTCGTGGGGTTTAGAAGTACTGATAGAGTCTGGGCACCTGGCCCACATTCTCACAACTGTTAACACCGTTTACCAATTTGCCATCCTGATCGTCGAAAGGTTTCTGCATTCTCACCACACTCGCGTAACTGTTACGTTTCAGCACCTCGTCGGGGCATTCGCTGGCGGCGCCGTTCGCGTTCGCCTGCAGATTCAGATTCGCGAATTCCACGTTCAACTGCTGCTGCTGTTGCTGTTGTTGCCAGTGAGCAGGCGGTGGTTTTGCTTGTGGCATTTGTTGTTGTTGTTGCGGCGGCGGCGGCTGTTGCTGATGGTGAAATTGTTGCAAAATGCGTGAAGGTGAATGGGGTGGAGGATGATGTGATTGTATGTGTCGATCAGTCATTAGGAGCGGCTGCCCTTCCAGTTGATGGTGCAAGACGTTGTTGGTGGATTCTTTAACACTTTGGCGTTTGTACAGAGGTAGGGGCAAGTTGAAGCCGGGAGGCGGAAGAGTAACAGATGGAGCGGGTGGTGCTTGCGCTTGGATAGGTTGGATCTGAGGAACTGCAGCTGCGGCGGCAGGGACGGTGGAGACTGCTATAGGTGGAGTCTTCACAATGTCCTTGTTGGTGGTCGTCTGTATGAGATATTCGAACTTCTTTGCAGCGTCCAGCCCTTTGGTCTCCAGCAAGTAGAAGTACCAACGTTGCTGGTTGTACGGATTCAAAATCATATCGGCAAGCGTCGTATTGGGTGGCAGTAGACTCATATAATCCCTGAGAGGATTGATGGGCTGTTGCGGCTGCGGCGGCAGCGGCAGCGGTTTACTCTCTGGAACCTGTTGCTGCACACTGTTGGCAAACTGTACGTTGGCGATGTCTTCCGGGGGTTTCTGCGGCATGACAGGTCGGAATTGACGAGGTGGCGCAAAAGCCCACGGGATTGCCGGTCGGAATTGTATGAAATTTGGAGCAATTATTGGTATCCTGAACGGTGGCGGGATCAGCAGATTGATTTCGGGTATCAGCTGAGCCCTGACGTAGTTCTCCTTGAATTTACGGGGGATAAACTCCGGCGCCAGCGGATTCAAAACGTACGTCTTCTTCAGCTCCACTCCGTCCAAGTGATTCCTCAGCGACAACCAAGTGATACCGAAGAGACTCTTGTTCTCCTCGCAGATTTGCAGAAACCTCTCCCAAACCTTACTACATTTACCTATTGAGCAAAGAGCTACCGGATCGCCGACGACGGCGACCAAGCTTTGAGCTCTGGTTATGGCAGTGTTTAGTAACTTTGAGTTGGATAGGAAACCAAAGTCAGAGTCGTCGCCGTTTTTGCAAGTCCTCCTCGTTCGAACGGTTGACAAGAAAATTGCTCTGAACTGCTTGCCTTGCACGTTCAGCACTCGCTCCACCGATATGCCGAACAACTGTCGCTTACGCAGCTCCGATCTTATTCTCAAGACCTGATCAGAGTAGGGCGTCATTATACCAATCGATTGATCATCGAATTTTCCCCACGCGGACGGCCACTGCTTCTTCAATTCGTACACCCTTTCAACTATTTCATATACCTCAGAATTATTGTAGAATGCCGTGGAATTGATATCCTGCACGTCCTCACCACGGGTAGTGAAAAATGTCAAGGGATAATAAACTTCGTGTCTGGGTTGCTTTCCACTGGAAATCAACTTCTGGTCATAGAACGATTCCGAAGTGAAATTGATGATGGCCTCGTGCGCCCTATAATTCTCTGACAGCAGAATCTTGCATGGAAACCCGGATGGGTAATGATCGTATAGTCTTTCGAGCAGACTCACGTGCAATTTTCGATCTTTGGCGATGTGCGAGAACAGTTCAGGACTCAGTTGCATGTGATCACCGGCAAGTACGATCCTGGTATTGTGGTTGGCCAAAGCCAGTGGCATAATTGCCTCGCATTCCATAGCCTGTGCGGCCTCGTCCAGGAATATATGCGTGAAGAAACCGCGCTGCAATTCCATCGTCGCCAAATACATCGATATTGATAATGTTACAACCACGATTCGATATTTCAGGATGTCCTCGAGCGTTGGCATACGGAAACTTCGACCGCTCGGCGACGAATCAATCATGCAATACTGCAACATACGTTAATAAAATAAAACTAATTCAATGTATGAAAACACTCTAGGTTACCTTTTGAACAACTTGATTGACTGTAGCAACCCATCTCTTGTGGTAGTAAATTCTGAGAGGTCTCGCCTCCTCGTGTCCAGATTCAACGTACGGATGGAGATAGTCTTTTATGTACAAATCGGCGGCGCTGTTACTTTGCGTGCAGATGAGGATTCTGTTCTCGGGATCGGATACAAGTTGTTTGATCGCTTGCGCTAATGTGAACGTTTTCCCGGTGCCGAAGGGCCCGATGATTAATACTGGTGGCAGATGAACACACAGCGGTGTAGTGATGGCGACAATCGCCTCTTTCTGTTTGAGATTCAGACGAGGGTCCAGCGTGCTGGACCATTGACGGGACGGAGTCCACGGTATGTTCGGTTCCAGGTAGGTGTCCGGAAAGATGAGCTTGAAATCAGGAATCTTATCTATGGCATAATGCCACTCGCAGTACGGTATTCGGTTGAGTTGAAACTGCACGTTGAACTTGACGTCTTGGTCGGCCTCCAGGCCGAGCGCGGACACCATCTTCGCAGATAATCTCAAGTATATCATTGTCTTTCCTTTATCCTCGATTAAAGCCTCGTAGACTTTGCCTTGGGCGTCCGGCGGATCAGGCGATAATAGTATCGTGGTGCAATTGTTGAGTATTAATCTGCCGGCTGAAGTATCCTCCGACAAGTCCTTTCCTAGGTGCATCAGTGCGAAGAGTTCGCCGCAACTCGAATACTTGGCTGTACTGCTGGCAGTGCTGTTTGGACAAAGTAGATAGCTATGGATGATCATCAACTTCGTGTTCACATTGTATCTAGCTATATGCTCGTATCGTGCCATCTCTTCCACGTAGAGCAACTCGTGCATTCTGGACCGATAATTGTTCTGGGTCAGTCTCTTCTCCATGATGGTAGCCTGAGAAAACACGAAAGTGTCCGACTGCGGGCACGGATAGGAAGAGGCCAGTGTTTTGGCCCATTCGCATTCGGTGTTCCCGTACGAAGGCACCAACGCCACCAATTCTGACGAGAAGTTCACTATATCTGAATTCGCGCTGTTCCACCTACATACAATACATATATTTATCGATTTCGATCAACAATTAGTAAGAAGCGATGGCGCTTACCTTTCGCTGCTGGACAGAAGCACTTCTTTTCTAATCTCGTTGATCTTTTCCATGTCTGTTAGAGGTATTACATCAACGCACAAATGCTTCACAAGGACCGGCTGCGTACCAAAATCGAAGACTATGCTTTGCCTGAACGTGCCGTAGATATCGGCGCAGAATGCCACGGCTACTCTGTACGTGGGAGATTCCCCGAAAGGCCTGTTCTCCGATTTCAGGATCCATTCCTGTCCGTTCGGCAATATATCAATGTCCTTCCAGTCGTCGCCGACGGCGTACTGCAGCCGGATAATACGGAAGTACGTCCGGTGCGCGTCCATCAGAAGTGCTGTTGCTTTTAGGTCGCAATTGTTAGCAACCAATTTGAACATCCAGACATGATTCACGTTCTTTGCTGATATCGATATGGACAGTTTACTGGAGCACAAGTCGTTCACCTCCGGTATACTGTCGCGCATTACCTTATCCGGCGCCGTCGTCTGAATCAGCTTCTCGATGAACTCTTCCGTGTAAGATTTACCTAAAAATAAATCAAAATTTATAACACTACACTTACATAGATTCAATATGTTCTTCAACTTCATGACAATTACAAGTTAGTAACAATAATAATCATATATTGATTTTATGTTTTCAGAATAATAAAACTCACACAATATTTCTACATATTTCACAACGAAACGAATATTAAATTTTATAACAATTTTCAGTAATTTATCAAGCACAACATTTTTATTCGACCTGAAAAATACGGAAATTAAATATTAACGTATACGCGCTTTGGCATTTAGTGACGCAAATAATTAATTAATATGGAAATGAAATTATTCAGATTTGAAATTTGAATTCAAATGTGTATATATACACCATAACTCACCATACATTTCAGTTTCATAAGCTCGCTGCAATCTCATCCTTCTATAGTTCATCCTTTCGCGCCATTCGTGCAGCTCGTCCGTTCCATGAGCCTCCACGCATTGGAGACCGTAGCGACATTGACCGGTCTCCGAGAAGGAATCGCAAAGTCTATAGGTTTCCATCGAGGATCCTCGGGGCGGAGGCCTCCACTTCCAATCCCGCCCCTCGTCCGACATAATGATCCTCTGATGAATGTCCGTTTGACAATGCGCCCGCAGATCTGCCTTATCTTTAAACATCAAACTGCAATACGTGCACACAAACCCCTAAAAGAATTTCAAATCAATTTCAAGTCTCCTGCAAAACAAATATAAATGCGTGATATTAGCATAGATCGCGTACACTCGGTGATTGTGATGTTGTATTATTTACATTGATCAAGCACTAATGGTTCGAAAATGTGTGATATCAATGTACATATATCATCTGCAATATTACAAAAAAAAAATAATACATTCGCTGCCATTACAGTGGCTAATGTTTTCTCACACCTTGAATTAACAGCAGAAAACCATAAGGGATAAACGAGTTATCACAATGCGTGCTATCAATAACAAATACTCTTATATTTACAAATTCCACAAGAGAAACAAAACCCTATTGATATTGCTAATAATGAAACCATAAAATCTGGCAACAAATTATTAAATAAACACTAGAAAATGTTATGCTTATCAGGCTAAAACAAAATCACAAGCTAATAACTAATTTACATCTTATAATTTTCTGAAAAACTTAAATGCATGACCTTCTGCAATCAATCAATTTTTCAATAGGTGTGATCCATGAGAATAAGAATCAAATGCAAAGACTTACAGACTGATCAGTTTTGTCCATGCGAAATGTCTTCAGTTTCTGCTCATAAGCAGCAAGCTCAGACTCAATGGAATTACAGCCATTGACCTGAATTTCATTGTGCAGATGCTCCAAGAACTTAGAGGCCTCCTTCTGATTGGGTCCAATATGAAAAGACACCCATTCTTGTATAGCCAATTCAGCTTCTGCAACATAACAATATATATAAATAAGTATCTCATGCAATTGGATTTCACCTTTCTTCTTTCGTCTTTACCTGCAAATCTCTGTGAATACATGAGAGCAATGATCAACCTGACTCGAGTCTTTGAACCACCCTGCAGATCTCCATTATCAATGTACTGCAAGAGTCTTCGGCAGTCTGTGATCACTGCCTCATTGTGGCCCAAGCCCCTGAAACAGTCCGTCCTCGCGAAGAGGAACGTGATGATCTGCGATTTGTTCAGGTATTTCAATGCGAGCAGTTCATTTAAAATCTCGATAGCTTTCAGCCAGTCTTTGGCGGCTAAATACTCAAAAGCTCTAGCCTCCATCAGCGATGACCATTTTTTTCCGGATCCTCGCGCGAAGTTCTCCGAAACACTAACATTCATTCAAACGTACAGAAGGTACGACCGGCATCCACTTTTCTCATGCAAACGGGTTGGAGCTCTGATTTCTTCCTAGAAACGCCGGAAACACGTTGTTTCTCTATTATTTGTATATTAAACAGATATATATCTACTGCTTTGACACTAAGTTGAATACGTGAATGATGACAGTTTTGGACAGTTTGTTTACAGTTTGATAACATTGGTAACCCTGTCTGAACTCCTCCTCCACCATCGCCGCTCACCAATGGCAGAAACAGAAAGAAAAATAAACATTGCAAATGTACTGAAGACAACTTCGTCGCGGATAAACATTTTCAACGTAATTATAAATAATAAATTACCATCAATCTGTGAGTATTTACGAATTGAATCAAGCAACAAGCACATTCTATCTAATACGAGTTAATCCATTGCAGATGGACAGTCCCAGCCAATCCAATTAGAATGCAATAGGTTATGGTCACTTTTATGGAACTGTCAAAATCAGTTGAGTAGAGAGGATAAATAAAAAGGGAGCATAATAGAAACGATATTTATGCAGAATCCCATAGTGATGTTTACGTGATAAATGATGGAAGAAAAGAAGAAGGAATCGAAGTTCTTGAACATATTTCTAAATCGGAAAAAGTCGCAACGGGATTCCGGCGGCGAACAGTCGCAGCACTCGCACAACAATTCAAACAATGACCTCTCATCGCGCAGACATCAGGGCATATTTAAAAGCCTGCAGAAGAAATGGAACTCGCACCGGAACAGCAAGTCCAACAAGCAAAGAGTTGTAGCCAGTGATCCTGTCCTGGTGGGTTTTGCTCCTTCAATCTCTGTCGATGAGAACAATCAGAACCACATCAACACTGGTCCTCCTGTCATACCCAGACGGACCATCATTTCAAATCCCTCTGACCTTTACAACGATGATGATGACGACGACGACGACATATCCCAGTACCTTGACATGAGTGAATTGAACCAGGTAATGATAATAATAGTAAAATTGTACTTGTATGAATTATATAGTTTATGTGCTATTATTTTAGTCCAAGTGCTCAAATGTGGGCCACCCAAACAATTCGGAAAGCAATAGCCTGGGAACTGAGCAAATCAAATTGGCGAAATTCGGATGGTTCTGGGGGCCTCTCACCAAACCTGAGGCCGAGGCGAAGCTCCATGATCTGCCAGACGGATCGTTCCTGGTGAGGGACTCCAGCTCATCCAGGCACATATTCACTATCAGCTTCAGAAGCTACGGACACACGATGCATTCGCACATCGAATATAGGCCGGGGCAGTTCTCGATCGGGGACGAATTGAGCAGAGCGAGCGTCTCCGATCTGATCGAGGAGGCGATAAGAATATCCAAAGAAAGTGTCTTCTGCTATTCGCGGGGGCGTGACGAGGCTGAGCCCTCCTACCCCGTGCGCTTCATGCGACCGGTCTCCAGGTTCATGGAGGTGAGGTCGCTGCAATACCTCTGTCGCTTCACCATACGACAGTACATCAACGTGGGCAACATACAAAAACTGCCGCTGCCGAGCAGCGTCAAGGGATACTTGCAACAAGGACAATACTGAAGGTTTTCTGTGATTATTTTTATTTTTGTTTTGTTTTATTATTTAATTATATTATCTATATTCATATTTTATTATCCGCATATTGTGCAATGTTGATCGGAGTATGCCGCCGATCAACTGGACGTGTTCTTCTACTTCTTATTACTATTATTATTATTATCAAAAATAAGGTTGCTCGATAATTAATATCGCATTTCTCACGTAAATATTTTGCTTTGCATTAAATTAAGAATGACGAAACAATATTTAATTTATTTATCGAACAACCGATTGTTACATATTTAACTTTTGTTTTTGCGCTTTTGATTTACTTTCGACGAGTATTCTTTGATCGTTGAAGAAGAAAAAAAAAAGGGGGGAACCGAGAAATTTTGCTCAGAAGATGATCATCTTTGTTATTGAAAATCGATTTTCTACTACGCTACACGTACGTCTCTCGTGCACCATGTATATAAGAGATTTTTTTGTATGGGAATTTTGTGATAATGAACATTTAGACTTTATATAAATAATATATATATATATCTACATATAAATTGTGGACTCCTATTTGTACTTTTTTCTATAGGTTACAAGAAACAATTATTTAAACAAGAAAATAATTTTCTTTTTTATTGTTCGGTAAACATTTATTTTTTGTCCAACGAAATAGAAACGTTATATAATTACAATAAGAAAAAAAAAAGAGAGAACAATTTACCTACCCTAAATATATTTTATACAATAGCACTTGGTTATGTCGCTTTATTCAATCCTAATATATTTCTCGCCTGAAACAAACAATAAATAAGAACAGATGCAAATTATTTGCAAAAACGCATCAGATTAGATTACCGTCGTGAAAGCAGCGGAAATTGTGTCTTTGGCTCCTTGTCCCATGAACTCGGATTTGTTCAAAATGTCTTGAAGTTGGACGGCTTCGGTCAATCTTCTGTTCAAGAATTTCCACGTCTCTTTGTGCTCCGCTGAAGTGTCTTGCAATAAATACAATTCGCTTGCTTTGAAGACTCCAGCCAGTGCGACCCTTCGTCCGTACCATTGAAACTGAACAATAAAAACATATTAATACAATTATAGAAACGGAAAGAGGATCAATTACATCAACGGATCTATCTCCCGCGTGGTAACATATATCATCGACCATGGTTAAAAGAGTCGCTAACGCTGTAGGTACATTTGGAGGTAAAGACATGATGGCTATGGCTTGGGGCCATTTCGAAATGTACGGCACGATCATCTGCAACCGTTCCTTGCACGCGCTTTCCACGAATTCCACCGGCGGAATCTGCTTCTCGCCCATTTCTATTCGGTGCTACAAATTTTAAAACGATTATTATTTCTTGTAGTAATTGCATTTGAGCGAACGTTACCTTCTTTAAAAAATCGACTAATCTCTTATTGGAGCTCTTCTGGAAATGCATGACCAAATCCCCGCCCCCACGTGCGAACATGCCGTGCGTTATACCAGGATATCCAACAGACTCCGCCCCCGCACTCAACGCCTCCTTCGACCATCCCAAATCGTGGACGAATGGCAACGAAGCATCCAATATCTTATTCTTAATATCCTCCTCGTACTTGGCGCTATCGCTATCATCCTGCTTCTGACTGGAGCATCTTCTCGTCGCCGTCGTCGTCGTCACCTTCACAACACAAGAAACTGAAATGAGAAAAATCTAACATGCAATATGCGTATTTTCTAGAGGACAGGGGTGTCAAAAATGACTCAAAAAAAATAATAATATAGTATGATTTTATTACAGGAAAATTAAGGTTTAACATTTTTAAATATAACTAGCTCGACGACTCTCGTCAACAAGCTACCCATGACATCGAACGCCGTGAGCGAGGTATTCATAACGTTCATCTGTTGAGCTGAAGTCATCTCTGGCAGATTTCCACCGCCAATCGATACAGACACTTTAGATGATTCTTTCCGTTTGCAATCGTCCCCTTTGGCCGCCTCCTGCTCCAACTCGTTGATCTTTAAATTGTAATGCGCCCGGGACAACCTCAAACCTTTAGTCAGAGGTTCTAAATATTCCTCGGTAAATTCGCGAACGTGATTCCAGATGCCGGTAACATTGGCGCGGTCTCTTATAGCTAGGTATCGAATTAGATTCAACGTCGGGACTATCAGATCCGCCAACTCCAGCAGATCGCTCTCCTCGCGTTTCGGCAAATTCGTAAACATCTTCAGCATGTTGTGGAACTTCTTTCCCGAGAAATGCGAATCCAGTTGGTCCGACTTCAAAGCCTCCGCGAGCATATCTTTGTATATAGTCGTCATGAAGCCGTTCAATCCGCTGTGCGTGCACAACTGCAGCATATTGTAGATAATCAAATATCTTCCGTGCGTATCGAAACTCAGCAAATACGTTTTGAACACGTCCAAAGCCCTCTGCCGATCGCTCTTCAATGGGCAATAAATTATTATCTTCGATATTCCGGTGCAAAACTGCTGATGAACCGGATCCTCTAACATCAAATGCGACAACTCCCTGTGCTTGTTCAACGCCAAAAGCTTCGTAACCAAAAGTAAACTTTTCTCGATAATGAATTGATGTTCGTGCTCGAATCCTTGCGCAATGAATCCAAGGCAATTCTGCAGCAAGTAAAGCGAGTCGTAGATCTTAGGTACGAGAGATCCACCGATATCTTCTTGGATAATCAAATAGTAGAAATTCAGAAGGCTCAATTTATCGATGTCTCCCAAGTTGCTTTCGAATTTCCTATCAGACAAGAATTTGAATACGTCGCACTTTTCGGCCACTCTAACGACAATCTTTTCCGCTAACAATCTCCCTCGACTTTTCGTCTCATTCAAACAGATCAAATCCAAATAAACCAACGGAGTTCCAAATAGATGCAACAGATATAAAACTAATACTCTACTGGTTTCGAACTTGGCAATCAATTCGTCGCTGTAAAATTCGCTGATTTTCGTGTAAACATCACATATCCTATAGACATCCCTGTCTGTATCCATGAGAAACCTTTCCTTGTTCTCTAGATTCAGATTGTCCGGCAACGGGAGTTTCTTGAGGTAACCCTTCACAGCTCCAAAAGCAAATTCTTGGTACTTCAGCCTCACCTCCTCCTCTCTCACCAAAGCCTTGTGCAATTGCTTGAGCAGGTAACCGTATTTAACATCATCATCGCAATCACTGATCTCCTTGTGTAAAGCCAAGATGATATCTTCACTGCTGCACTTGCTGCAAGCAAGATCCAACAGATCAACGCATTGCGTCAATCTAACGTCTTCTTCAATATCCGCTTCGGAGTTGATGTAAACTGTTATACTAGGTACAATCTCCCAAAGATGTTCCTTAATAACGCTCTGATTCGATGGCAAGTTGATCAGGCGCTCCGCATCGACCGTATCGTTCTCGAGGAGGGCCGTCTGCAGCAGAGACAGGAACTGTTCTTGGGCCATTTTTCAATACAAAAATCGCTTCAAACCACTGCAAAAAATGTTAATTTGATGGTTGTGTTTTGCATTTCATCAAACTGACAGACAAATAATTAACCAATTGGTTTTATATTTTTTTTTTTAAAAAAAAGCAAAATAGATTGAGGTTATTTCGGTTTTCAGGACACTTACGTCTCAAGTTGTTGCGGGCCGTGCAAATTAGGGCAGTCAAAGACATAATAATTGTGGGACAGTATAAGTGTCTATCATTCACGAACTAATAATTATTGAAAATTGCAATATATATATAAAATGGTTATCGAAAATTTTTCGGTAACGTTCACTGTTGCCAACTGGTGATAAACATGGGTTATCAGTTGGGTTTCAATTGATTAGCAGATTGTTAATTGAGGTTTGGTTATAAGCTCGAAATTTATTTACTCGAGTTATCATCGGTTTATTTGCGTTGGCTGTAATTGTTTTGTTTTATGTGATTGGTGTAGTGATGCCAACGTGAGTTCGGGATGCGGCGAAAGTAACCAGAAAATCTGTTTGACACAGGCACAGGTGACAGATGCGATATGGTGTTTCTCTGATTTCGAGACAGCAGCAGAGAAAGAGGAAAGAGATGGTCATTGACGGTCGTGCGTGTTGATATTATTTTTGTGCTGTATGTGTACGTATATGGATGTGTGCGTGTTTCTCGCGGAGTTTTTGAATTGAAAAGGGTATAGAGCTGTGGTGATGGACGCACTACTCTGATGCGGTGCGGTTCTGTAAGCGTTCGCTGTGTATTTCTAGTGCCATTAGTTTTCAGTTCTTTCGTCGAATTATGTCGACCAGATCTCAGCTAACTAAAGATTTGAATGGTGAGTGTGCGTGTCCGTCCGTCCGTCCTATGAGCCCTGCACCTCCGGATGCACGGACTACAGAATACGTGCGTTCAGGAACTGAAAAATCAGATACGAATGTTTACAAATCCCACCTTTCTTTCAGGAAAGAAGGGGAGTGTCGATCTATATATACGCACCGTGTAATTGGTGAATCGTCGCCTGCTTGTCAGATGATGTTTGTCAAAAACAATTCCGCCAATCAATTAATCTAATTTAAATACGTTGTTCCTATCGACGTGCGTTACTCACGTTCGCTGACTTATATCTGACAGGAGCCTTCTTGTTTATAAACACCTTCATTATCCATTCGAGTATTTCCAAGTCATTGCCTCTTCCACATCAGCCCGATCCGATAATTATCGATATCAACACTATTTCTAAACATATTCATTCAATTTATCCTTTTTTTTTTTAACAATGAAAACCAATCTTGCGTACACAATACAAAAACTCCAATATGAATATATTGACAATTTCTATTTATTCTATTTAACACAATCAAATCTATAGGATTGAAGAATTTCCATTTGTAAAATTGTGACCATTTATCGGTTTTATTACTCACTGTAAACGCAGGTAAAGAAAACGTTGGGGTATGTTAAAAATGACCTGTGCAGGAAAAGGAAAACAAAAAACGGTGGTCTGTCGTGCCTCAAGGATCACGAAACCGTATTATTTGTTTTATAATTAGATCTTCTGATGTTCTGATGACATAACACAAACTATTGGAATCTTTCATCCTCGTATTGATTATTTTTACTATTTTGATCTATTAATGTACATCTGCAATTTTGTATTCTAGTACAATAATTTGATCGAGTTTAACGCGTTGTTCTTAAAGGATTTGTTAATTCATTTGAATCCAAACGTAACAGTTAATTCTAATGATCAGTTGACATGTTTTTTTTATATATAAAATTAGAAGAATTGTCTCTTTCTGTGACTGTTTGTTTATTATTAATAGAGACGTTATCAATGCGTTTGAAATGTTTATCAAATGAAAAAGGTGCGGTGCGTTCCGTACAAACTTTGCCAAAGCAAAATTCAAGTGCATTCTAAATCCTCGCTCAAAATTCCGAACGGGTTTTAATTACTAATCACCTGCCGTCGTTACAAAGCATGCAGGCGAAAAAGTATTTAGGTAAAATGTGTAAAACTCGTTTAGTTTTCACTGAAATAATTTACATTACTTTCAATTTTCATTAAGTTCTACTGCTTAATTGTGTTTATCGTTTCATCAAATCTATTTATTTTAAAAAAATAATAAATATTGAAAATGTGTGGAAATGTGAATTTGCTCGTAGTTTGTAGTAGTTTTTAATTGCGTTTTCTTCTTCTGTTGCAGAAAGTGTGAAAACATTATTAGGAAAACAGGTGAAGATACTGTTCAAAAATGTGGTCCGATTGGAGACGAAGGGCGATAAGACTGAAAATCGAGTGCTGGTGAGTCAAAAAAAGAACCCGCGTTATTCCCCACAGATTATACGTTATTCAGTTAATAAGATTATAGTTTTTGTCCTTATAATTCTCTCACTCATGTATTTTGATTACGCTTACGTTCGAACATGTGTGTGTCGACGTTCGAGCGAGTCGATTTTCGGTCGAAATGAAAAACTTGAGTTTTAATAAGTTTATTATGATTTTTGCGCAACTCCCGCTTGTGTGTTTGTTTCTTCTGCGTGTAATCGAAGTTGTCGTCGAATTTCCCGGAACGATTACGAGACCGGCTTGCTTAGCATATACATGACTCAATGCGCTCTTGTTGTTTCTTTACGGTAACCGCTATCTCCGAACGCAAATTCTCATTGTGACTGAGCCCTCGCCAAAACAATTTTTTTACAATTTCAATTGCGGTTTTAGTCATATTAAACTCAATCAATGAGCACTTAAGTGTGCGATTTATATTGTTAAGAAACTTGTTAACGCTAACGATTATTTCCGAATACGAAGGTTTCTTTAATTACCAAAGTCGCAGTTGTTATAACAATTGCAAAGTAATATAATTACAAATTCATAGAATGACGATGTTTGAGGTCAAACATAGTTGATTGAGTCAAATTTAATTACTTCGTTGTAGCTGTTGAGAGTTTCATTTGGAAGGAGGAATCTGCTGAAGACATGCAGTGGGATTTATGGGTAGAGCTAGAGAAATAATCAATAAGGCGTCGTTTACAGCGTAAGTTATTAAGAGACCGAGAAAACGTTCCATTTGATAAGTTTCAATTAATCAAACTTAATTAGTCGCTTTGGCAGGTGCAATTGGTCAGCTTCAGAAGAAAAAAGAACACACACACATATAGATATATAAAGCGCGCGCGAGAGAGTGAGAGAGAAAAAAGTAATAGTAAAATCAATACCTCAATTCGTTTGTTTCGAGCGACTTAGAAAGCGGGAGCAGCGAGGGGTCAGGCCCCGGTGGAGGTTGCCGTATAATGCGTGCGATTTTATTTTTAGCCGCGATTTGTAATTTGCGATGTTCCGTCGAATTTCTTCCGTTGCTTCGCCTTTGCATTTTCTTTTCCGTGGCGTGCATTTTAAAACAGTTTAACATCGTTATTATACAATGTACAGAATATACATGAAGCGAGCGAGCGAACGAGCGAGCACACCTACTTCGGTTTTGTTTCTTCCATTATTGTTATTTCAATGCACTAATAAAATGCGACCTTCGTACATGATCAACTGTGGCCAGTTTAAATTTCCATTTGCTGGAGTGAATCATCCAGAAACGTCGTGTTGGCGATGGGTGGCAGCGATCCGATTATGATGATGGTGTTGTTGTTGATCATCATCATCATCGTAGTTGTTATTGGTGGTCATGCTGCGGGTCACAAGTTGTCTCCCAAGACGCTAATTGCGGCAGAGATCCCTTCAAGATCCCTTCTGGGCAAATGGCCCAGATTTTAATTAACATTCATTAAAAACTTCGCCCATTTTAATTAAGCGCGCGCCCGAGCTTTTTTTCTTCTGTTCCAACAATAACAAATGTTGCGCGTTTCTATCTTGTCTCCTCTATGTTGCATGACGATGATCTCTGCAGCTCGAGGCTGCTTCGCGGATCCCAGTTTCTTCCCTTAATTAGTTTGATGTCTGTCTTCGGTGTTGTTTTGCTGCATTATTCTTTAAAAATACTAATAATAAATTGCTATTCAACGTAAATTTCAATGTTTTGCGCATTTCTTTAAAAAAATCCGCTGTGATAGGACTGCTAATATTTGTGAAACTTTCTCTGCTCGCACATACATTGAATTACAAACATTTATCATACCATTCGCACCTTCATATTAACGCAAAGCTAAAATAAATTGTTACAATTTAGTTTAGAAACTGTTTTCCAATTGTAAAATTCAGTTAGACCTTTATGTGATTAATTAATTAAGCTTATTTCATCAATAATAAAACTTAATTAAAGTTTCATACTTTTGTCTTGTAATTAAAACATTGCTAGATTATATAAATTCCCTTTAATTTCTACTTGGAAGATGGAAATACCCGCGGCTAAACAGTTTTGAATTTTTTTTTACATCGTTTAGTAACTTTTAACTTTGCTACGTTGGGAACTCTGCTCGCACCTTGTTTTGACAGATGACAGATTTTCTGTTATTCCCTGTTTATTATTATTATAACCAGTTTTCTGGTAGTTCCAACAATTTTCCAAACTGTTTTTCTATGTGAATATATATCACGGGAAATATATTATTTTAATATACATATTTACAACAAACTATCATCATGGGGAAGAAAGCAGAGGTGGGAACACCCAAGTACATTGCTAACAAGATGAAAGCGAAGGGGCTTCAGAAGCTGAGATGGTACTGTCAGATGTGTTCGAAGCAGTGCCGAGATGAGAACGGTTTCAAGTGCCACACAATGTCTGAATCACATCAGCGGCAGCTGCTGCTGTTTGCTGACAACTCAAAGAAGTACATGGATGAATTTTCTTATGAGCTGAGTAGGGAGTTTGTGCAGATCTTAAGGAGACAGTTTGGTACGAAACGCGTTGCTGCCAATAGGGTGTATCAGGAGTACATTGCTGATCGTAATCATGTCCATATGAACTCCACCAGATGGGTAACACTGACTGGTTTCGTTAAATGGCTTGGGAAAACTGGAAAATGTATCATTGATGAGACTGAGAAGGGTTGGTATATTACCTACGTTGAGAAAGATCCAGATCAGATTGCCAAGGAGGAGAGGAAAAATAAAAAAATTAAAATGGATAAGGACGATGAGGAACGCACATTGGAGTTTATTGAGAAGCAAGTGAAACATGCCCAAGAGGTTGGTGGAGAAACGTCGGAGCCAATGTATACGGAATTTGTTAGGGAGAATGAAGAGGAAAAGCTTGCACTGGATATTAAGTTGGAATCAAAGTCAAAGGTGATGATGATGGTTTCCAGTATGACACCACTTAATAAATTGGTGAAACCTGGTGGATCCTCTGATGATGTGTTCAAGAAACCCAAGGATAGAAAGAGGACAGCTATGGAAGAGTTGATGGAGCAGGAGGAAAAGAGGAAAGAGAAAAATAATCGGAAGGATTACTGGTTGACTGAGGGCATTGTGGTAAAGGTTATGACAAAGTCTCTAGGGGAGGAGTATTATAAGGCTAAAGGCGTGATTAGGGAGGTCAAGGATAGGTATTGCGCTATTGTCAAGCTGTTGGAGGGCGGCAAGAAGATCAAGTTGGATCAGGAGCATTTGGAGACGGTTATACCGGCTATCGGGAAGTTGGTGAAGATTGTGAATGGAGCGTATCGGCGTGAAACAGCTACACTCTTGAACATTGACGAGCGTAATTACTGCGCGGATTTGGAGATCCAATGCGGTGTGCTCAAAGGAAGGAAAATCAAGGGCATCGAGTACGAAGACTTTTGTAAAATCGACGACCAAGAATAATATTTTTAATAAAAGAGTTTTTGTAAATAATTAAATGAAAAACAAACATTTAGTCCCCCATTTACTTGCTAATAATTGTAAATGTACGATGTAACAATATGATATACAATAAATGTGATGTAATAAAAAATACTAGAGAGAGAGAATTAACAGATTTGTTTTTATCAATGGTTATTGTTATATTTCAGGTGTTTTCACCATGTCGAATCCTCCTTCTCACGGCAAAAGTTCCCACAAGAGTAAGTGTTCGAGCTGCTGCTGCTTGCTGATGTGAAAGCGATAAATGTTGATGAGCAAATTGCGCGTGTTTTCAGATCGATTGCCATTTTCACTACCTGGAAATCCAGGCGTTGGAAAGCAAGCGAGGAAATCAGCTCAGCATAACGGTGAACGAGAAGACTTACTCCTTCCTGACCGGAGACGATTCCACGTCCAGCCAGGAGGTGGACAGCATGATTTCCGCTCTAGCCACTGCCATTAGGAACATCTTCCCAACGGTGTCCCTACATTATATAATCAGGAAAATCGAAGTGATTCCGTCGTCGCGCCTTCAGGTATTAAGGGACATAGAAGCTGTCGGAAGCAACGTTCGAGAGGTCGGACCGTGCGGTGGTTTCTCCACGCAATACGCATGCATGTGCGACTACTTTAATATGCCGTATCGGGAGGAGGTCGCCTGGGACGTGGACAACATCTACGTATCTCTGAACACGCGCGAACTTTGCCTCAAGGATTTCGATCATTTGGATCAGAAGTAAATTAAAAAAAAAAAACACCGCTTCAATAACTCTTATTATTATTAATCGTTCCATTCTTTCAGAGATTTAATACCAATAATTAGCGCTTTAGAGTACAACACGTGGTTCACCAGATTACGTGTTAACCACGTGAAGCTGTCCCACGACGTTATGGAGAAGGTGCTCAACGTGTTGCGTAAATCTTTGAGCCTGGAGGAACTGTATTTGGACAACCTGACGCTTAAGGCGGACTTCATCAACAAACTGACCGGCAACATCAAGTCCAACAGGATAATTCCGCTGCACACGATCGACCTCTCCAATAATCTGATCGAAGATAAAGGTGCAGTAGTAGTGATCAGTCATATCGAAGCATTCGAATCATAACATTAACGCATAACATTTTTTAGGTGCTATTAACTTGGGTGCTTGCATTGGTGAATTGAACAAGGGCTTGGTTCATCTCAACCTGTCGCACTGCAGCCTCAGTCCGAAGGGCATAAACCAATTGTCTAATCTACTGAATAACAGAAGCAGCCTTTACAATACTCTCACCTACTTAAACTTAAGCGGGAACAGTTTGAAGGATGACATTACTGTAAATCTTGATATACATCACCGATTGATTAACCAACAACTACTTATATGTTTTTTTTTTATTCTCTAGCATCTGCATACATTCCTCGGACACCCGAACGCTTTGAGTTACATCGATATTTCGGCAACTGATATTATCTTGGAGAGTGTTTTTGGGTCGTTGGTTAAAGGCTGCACCACGAATCTGGTGCATCTGAACGTGTCACGAAATCCATTCAGCAGTAAGAAAAGTAAAGAAGCTCCGATCGCCTTCAAACAGTTCTTCAGCACTACGTTGAATTTGAAGTACTTGAACATGGCCCATTGCAAACTGCCTCAAGAAGCTCTCAAGTAATAACAAACAATTTTCTATATGGGGAAATTGAAAATAAAATGCGTTCTGTTTCAGAAATTTGTTATTAGGTTTAGCGTGCAATGAATTTACCAAAGAAATTACCCTGGATTTGAGCAACAATTCTCTGGGAGCGCAAGGAGCTCACGTGATCGAGTCTTGCATCCACGGTGTAAGATGCATCTCCAGCCTGGATATCTCCGAGAACAGTAAGAATTTAGATTTAGTGTTGATCTTAAGATTGATTTGATTTGTTTTTGTAGATATGGATGTAGATTTGGCGGCCGTGGTGATAGCCATCAGCAAGAACAAATCGCTCAAACATCTGAGCATGGGCAGAAATATGACAAACATGAAGGCTAAGCATGTGTCTACGGTTATGGACGCCGTAGTGCAAATCATCCAAGACGAGGAGTGCACCCTGCAGACTCTTTGCATACCCGATTGTCGCTTGAAAGCGGACCTGCACAACTTCTTCAGCGCTTTGGGAAACAACAAGTGTTTGGAGTCCATCGATATCACCGGCAACATGATCGGTGATTCGGGCGCCAGACTTCTGGCGAAGGCGCTCCAGATCAACAGCAAGTTAAAGTCCATACTGTACGACAAGAACAACATAACTCTGCAAGGATATTTCGATATAGCGTACGCGCTGGAGAGCAACAAGACCGTGCAGCACATGCCGTTCCCCATTTACGACATCACGCCCTGCATGAAGGCCAACGCGGATCGGGCGGACAACGTGATGAGGAAAATCCAGGAGCTGCTGAACAGAAACGTGTCGCCGCGTAAGAATAATATGAAGAAAATGAAGGTTCTGCAGCCCGGATTTTTACTGAGTTCGAAGCAGCACGCCGTGGATCGTCTGGTGAACCAAACCAACGACGTGATAAAGAACTTGGGCTCGGATTCGGTGGCAACCAACAACGATATCAATCACGCCAGTGGAGTGATGCAGGACGCCGATAACTGCAAGAGGTTGTTCGGTATTTTGCAGGAGGTTGCGCAGCAGAAGGACGAAGTGCATCCAGTGAAAGTTAAGCTGCAGCAAGTCTCCGCGGATGTTCATTCCTGCGTCAACGAATACTTGCAGGTCGGTCTCTAATTCAAAGAAATAAATATAAATCAATAATCTTTTTTTCTATTTAAAGACTATAACGGAGAAGATGCTGAAGAGCAGCAAGGAATTATGTCCGTATGTCCTGAACGATAATCACGTGATGCAAGATATTAAACGCGATTGCAAGAACAAAAAGCAGATTCCCTTGGAGTTTATTACTAATTCGATTAAGCATCAAGCCGGAACGGATATTATGAATAAACTAGGGTAAGATTAGCTCAAATTAAATTCTTAAGAATCATAACATTAAATATATATTGCAGTGAATTGAATTTGATGATTGCCTCCTACGTTTCTGAACAAATAACCGATGAAGTCTTTGAAACCCTGATGCGCGGTTACAAAGTGCTGTTAGGTGATAATACCGGTATCAGGATCGATTCACCGCCGAGAAGATCGAGACTCAGCAGTTCGGATAGCTCGAGGCACGGAGCCAGTGATATTTCCATTACGGATAGCAGCCACCAGTCGGATCATTCGCCTTTGGTAAGATTTACAAATGTTTCTATTGCTTAACTACTAAATTAACATTAATTAACATTATGAAAAACCATACGTTTTTGCACTGTTTCACGCAGAAATTGGAATATTTAAATCTCGTAAGTACACGGTAGTGTTTTCGTTTGTTAGTTTTTATTTAGTAATTATTTACGTATTGATTTTGATTCATTATTTGGATTCATTTAGGCGACGCCGCATCTGTCCATAAAAAGGAAAAGTTTGCATGGACGCAAGTTACGTCCTAAATCGGTCGTGGACAGCGTAGAAGGATTGTCGGCTGACGATATTCCAAGCCTGTTACCTTCTTTGCCGAGGAACTCGGAGGAGGAGGATTCTGTTACGGAACTGCCGAACGCCACGCATCAGCTGCAACATTTAGTTAAAGGTCAGTAATTTTTATAAATTTGATTGTTGATATTTTGAATGGTGGTTGTTGTTGTTCTAGGTCGCCCGAGGAGAGTGAAAACGCGAGCACCGACTCGGCCGCTGCTCAGGCCGAGCGATGTCATCGACACCGGTATACCGGATCTTAAGGAGGGTTTGGATACGTTCTTCAGGCCAGGTTCGGTGACCCCGACATCGGATGACTGCGGCGGCTTCAGTTCGCTTCCGCCGATGTGCGACGGCAGCGGCGAAAGTCCGAGCAGGGATTACTCATCGCCGGCACTGAGCGAGGGCAGGAAAACGCCTAAACTGGCGCGCAACTCGCCCCAGCTCAAGGGTCTGATGATACCCGCACCGAGATCCCGTTCGACTGATAACTTGGAGAAGTACTCGCCGGCGGCAGCTAGAAGGGTGGACACGGCTTCACCTTTGACACGTCGCGCGACCGGTGATAGCCTGCTGTCGCAGGAGAGCATCGACACTGACGTCGACGTTTCTCCATGCGGAAGTATAACCCGAACCATCACAACAGGTACATTTTTTTTTTTAATTTAAAGGTGCACGATTTATATATATATTATATTTTGTTTGTTGTTGTTGTTGAAGATGATGGAAAGTCGAAAACGGGACCGGCCATTGCGCCGAAACCCAGACCGTGGTCGATGGTCAACGCAGAACATCACAAATCCGGCGATACTTTGCTCAGCGATGGTTCTTCGCCGGCCCAATCCACTGGTAACACTCCGGATAGTGGAGATGCCTTGGACGGGGGCGGCTCCGAATCGTCATCCATCGACAGGAAGATCGTCAAGGATTTGAAGGCTAAGAAAGCAGGTTAGTGTACCGGCGGTACAAATGAACCTTGAACGATTTTTGCCTCGATCATCTCCACTTTGCTTTCTCATCCTTTTTATTTTTATTTTATTTTTAATTATTTATTTATTATTTGTTGCTTCCTCGTTATTTTTTCGTTGCTTTTATTTGTTTTGGTTTCGTTTGAAAGGGTTATTGCAGAGCTACTTTCCCGTACGCGAGGATTTCCGGTTTCTTAGCAGGAATAAGGTACACACACATTTCAATCATCAGTTATTATTTTATATACAGTAACAGTCGAAAAGATTACACAATCAGAGTGATAATTATTAATGGTTTCAAAGAGATAATAAACGATTCTCAATGTTTCGACTGTTATCATATATAATTATATATGCGCTATCTCTAATATGTTTATTCTTTACACGTTTTTAACCCTCGATCTAACTCTTCGTGTAGTGTAACTGTGAGAAATATTACCATCAATTTATTTATTCCTTTTTCTGTGTCTTTTCCAGGGGATAGTGGTTGATAGAGGACGTTTGTTGAGTACTGGTAGCATAGAGCGGAGGAGAGACAGCAATTTTAACTGCAAGGGCACGGAGGACGCCCACTTCGGTAGGTGATAGGTTTTAAAAGTTACAGAGCGAATCAATATTTTTGGAGATATTAAAAGAAAAAAAAAAACAAAGAGAAAAATTAAAAAAAAAAATAACGCGCGATTTGCCTCTCTTCCCACGATATTTAACTATTATAAATATTATACATACATTAAGACTTAAGGGATATAATTAGTAAGGAACTATATATATACATATTCTATTTTTGACTCTAGAGATTCGAAGAAAAAGAAGAGAAAAAAAAACAAACAAATTGTAATACAGTAAAAAAAAACAATCTATTTTTCTTAAGTGATTATTCTACTAGGTTATATTAATCGATTAATTTTCGTGAAGGAAAATGAAATATTTTGAGAAACAGATCAGAGAAAACAACAAAACAAAAAAAGAGAGAACAAAACTCAACCCCCATCCCCACCACCCCCCAAATGTGATATTTTTAGAGTGAAAATACTTTGTTTGTTTCATAAGTTTTAATTATTTTTTTCCCCTTCATTTTCTTTTTTTTTATATCGTTTCGTTTAATTTATTTCGGTGCAATGCAATAATAATAATATTTGTACGTAAAGGGGTGATGTTAAAGAAGATGATGATGATGGTATTATTATTGATTTTAGTATCGATGATTTTGGTGTAATTCGTCGTAATGTCTGCGCATTTATTTATACATTTGTTGTGTTCAACTATTTATATAATACGATATAATATCAATTTTATGCTCTGTGGCTTTTATTTTGTATTTCTTCAAGTGTGTACTTTTTTTTTTTTTTTTTTGAACCTATGGGTGGGCCTTTTAAACATCGACAATATGTGTGTAAATCTCAATTAATGTAAAAACAAAAATCAACCTGTGTAAAATGTGTGCAATCAGTTTCGAGAAACGTAATCTTAGGCTGTTTATAGAGGGGTGGAAATTTCATGCCCCTGGTAAATTTTACTTCACCTGCTTCGAGAACCCTTCGTACGTACGTTTATTCCTTTCATTGTGTCACATTCCAATTATAATGATATGTATTTAACAGTAACGTTCACGTATTAAACAACAAATAAAATCAAATGTATATTGTATTACGAATGCTCCCACGCAAATTCCAAGTTGTTCTTTTGGTAGACGATGTAAATATTCGGACGCACATTATTATATATATATATAATAATGGATTGAAGAGTGCGGCGATTCGCTGTATGATTATTACTTGTTAAGGTCGGGAACGGAATGGGAAAATCATCTTCCAATTGCTGCGATCTGTGAATGCAAAGCAATTGCAAGTCAACTAGAAGAAAAAAAGAAGTGTTAATGAAAGAAAATCAGCCAGTATATAATCTATAGTTTGCAGTCCCGTTTGTAGTTGCCAATTACAATTAGTGTATTATTAACGATACTTATCATTTTGCATATTTTTATTATTATGATTATATATATATTGTACGTATATGTATGAACGACTTTTTTTATTTCTTTTTTAATTTTTCCATATATTTTCCTTGTTTATTTAAGCTTAAATGTTTATGTGATATCTGATCTCTAGCTTATTGGATCATGATTTATATTATTATTATTATATTATTTTTTTTATATTATATTTGATTGTGCGAGCCGTTCGAGAAAACGCTGATATTTTCTCATCGGCCCAACGTTATTTCTTTTTTTGTTCTGTTACTCGTGTGTAGATATATTTAACTAACCTTAAGTTTACAAAGTGTTTTTCTTCCTTTCTCTCATATATAACATTTTAAATTAATTAAAAGAAGACAAAAAAAAGACGCAACGTACTGATGCTTCCAAATGAACTTACAAAACTAATTAACACGAAACCGTATTTGTAATTTATAACAAATTTTTCACGTTCCCCCCAATTTTATTTTATTTTTTAAAGAAAAAGCATAAAAGAGAAATTAATAAAAAAATGTTCATTCACTACACCTCTTCGTTTCTTTCAATCCTTTACCTATCGCGAAAAAATAGATTTTGAAATTTTAACAAACTGTTTAAAAGTAATTAACAAAAAAAAAAGTTATAGATTATCCAAAACTGTAATTAACGTTATTCTGAAAATTTAGAAATTGTCTATAATGTTTAATTTATTGCAATTACAAATATTGTGTAAAAATTAAATGAGTGAAACACGTGTATATCTGATGAATTAGATGGATTTAAAAATATAGAATTTAATTTTAATCCCATAGATAAACCAGCGTATGGTAAATCTAGTGGATTAAAACGAGATCCGTAACATATTCTGTATGAAACAGGTGCAACCTCGTGAAGGTTATATGCGAAACGGTCTTGTAACAATTCAGAGGCTATGTTTTGCGCTTGAATTGATACCTGGTTATCATCTTCGAGAGAAGGTGATATACCTTTTGCACCTGGGGATGCGGCCACGTGGAAGCCGCTGCTCTCATTCACAGCAAATGAGAGCAAACGCGCGACCGCACACCCGGGAAGAATTAAAAAGGAAATAGGGAAATTTAGGATAGAAGGAAATGCTATGATCTAGGGTATCTGAAACAGAAGATCACAAACAAATGACACACACCCGAACCAAAACGTGAACGAAATATACATTTACACAATCTATAAGATCGTATTAAAAAATACGATACACATTTATAATTACAATAAAAATAAAATTGCATTGCACATTGAACATCATTATAACATTTTACAGGAGAGGAATAAATGGAACGTCCATTTTCTCTCTCATCTTTTATTTTTTTTTTTAAATTTTTTAATTCTTTTGTTTTATATATTTTTTTATTATTGTTATTAAACCATATTTTATTTTTTTAATTTTTCATTCTTTTGTTTTATATTTTTTTTATTATTATTGTTATTAATCCTTTTTTTTTCATATTTTTTTTATGTATCTATTTGTTTATACATCATATTTTTTATATAATATGGTTTTCTTATTACTTTTTATATTATTT